TACTTCCCCTGCGCACATCTCTGGGAAATTCTTTTGCAACTAGTGATCCCCTTCGTGGGTGTCCTTATATGGGGGGCTTCTGGCCTTTTTCAAAGGTGCCGAGATATGTAGGGGACCCCAAAAGGGACTCTGACTAGTGAACTACCCAAATCTGGGGTTTGTACTGCGTTTGAATGAAAGGAGACCTTCATTCTCGGAATCTTTCTCATGGAGATAAGAGTGACTGCGAGCAAGGCTTCTGACTCCTATGGTGTGAGAGTCTCGAGCCGTGGAGAGTCAACTTCGTATTTCTCCAAACAAAGAACCCCTCAACCCTAAACCCTAAACCCTAAACCCCTCAACGCCAAGCCCTCACCCAAGCTACGGGCACTGAATCCCAGTCTGCGCCCGCCATTTTTGCACTTGCGGCTCCCGCAAGGCCCGGACGACTCGACTGCATGCGCTGTCCGACTTAGGGTTCAGGGGAGGGCTGGGGGTTTAAGGTTTAGGGTTAAGGGGTAGGGTTCACGGTTTAGGGTTTAGGGTTTAGGGTTTAGGGTCTAGGGTTTAGGGTTTAGGGTTTAGGGTTTATTAGGGCTTTGGGGCTTTTAGTGCACTAGGGGAAAGAGCTGTGGCTTGGAGAGCTGGAGTGTTAACCGCTACATGATGTTTCGGGCTTCCAAGGCGGTGTCCCGGGTGTGGAGGGTGACCATGCGAACCTCCAAGAACAAAACCCCAACCGTGAACCCGATACGCTAAACCCTAAACCCTAAACCCTAAACCCTAAACCCTAAACCCTAAACCCTAAACCCTAAATCCTAAACTCTTGCATCCTAAACCCCACACAGTCTCACAGCACCGCAAAAGGTCGCTGTCGAAGCTGGAGAGGCCTTGAGGTTGGGATTTAAGGGTTTGGGGTTTAGGGTTTGGGGTGTAGGGTTTGGGGTTTTGGGTTTGGGGTTTTGGGTTTGGGGCTTGGGGTTTGGGGTGTAGGGTTTGGGGTTTAGGGTTTGGGGTTTTGGGTTTGGGGCTTGGGGTTTGGGGTTTAGGGTTTAGGGTTTGGGGTTTAGGGTTTGGGGTTTGGGGTTTAGGGTTTGGGGTTTTGGGTTTAGGGTTTTGGGGGTTGGGGTCAGGGTTTGGGGTTTAGGTTTTGGGGTTTAGAGTTTGGGGTTTAGGGTTTCGGGTTTGGGGTTCGGAGTTTTGGGTTTGAGGTTTGGGGTTCTGGGTCCGAGCAGAGCCCTGCGATGTGCGGGGGAAGGTGCGACAATCCAAATTCAGGCACAACCATACTAACCCTAAACCCTAAACCCTAGGGCCCTAGAACCTAAACCCTAAACCACAACTCTAAATCCACTCCTAAACCCTAAGCCCAGAGCCTTCATCACAGGTACACACAGCCAACAGTCAAGGCACATCTCCCTGCTTTGATGGGGTGGAACAGCACCCTAAACTCCTAACCCCCAAACCCTGAACCCTAAACCCTAAACCCTAAACCCTAAACCCTAAACGACCTAAGCCAAAAGCCTACACACACTAAGCCCTCAACCCTAAACTTTTCAGCCCTAAACTCCCGAACTTAGTGAAGGGGCTCTGACAGCTGCGACGCCAGCCTTGGAGTGGGGTTTAGGGTTTAGGGTTTAGGGTTTAGGGTTTAGGGTTTAGGGTTTAGGGTTTAGGGTTTAGGGTTTAGGGTTTAGGGTTTAGGGTTTAGGGTTTAGGGTTTAGGGTTTAGGGTTTAGGGTTTAGGGTTTAGGGTTTAGGGTTTAGGGTTTAGGGTTTAGGGTTTAGGGTTTAGGGTTTAGGGTTTAGGGTTTAGGGTTTAGGGTTTAGGGTTTAGGGTTTAGGGTTTAGGGTTTAGGGTCTAGGGTCTAGGGTTTAGGGTTTAGGGTTTAGGGTTTAGGGTTTAAGGGTTTAGGGTTTAGGGTTTAAGGGTTAAGGGTTAAGGGTTAAGGGTTTAGGGTTTAGGGTTTAGCCTTTAGGGTTTAGCCTTTAGGGTTTAGGTTTTTGAGCTTTATCAGGGCTATCGGGTTTAGGGTATTCAAGGCAATGAGGGGCCGCGTTTTCTGAGGGTAGGTTGGGGTTTCGTCCTCCTTGAAGGAACATCCTCTCGCACGGCATACAGATCATGCTTGATTCCCTAAACCTTGAACCCTGAAACCTTTAGGGTTCGTTTCAGGTCTCACCCGCAAACCCCAACTCCCACGCTCGAGCACACCAACCAGGTCCAAAAACATAGGCCCCTTTGTGCCTTTCTCTTGACGTTGACACTACTAACAGCCCAAAACTATCCTAAACCCGAATCGGTGAAGAACACCAAAAAATGATGAATTCCTAGACAGGCTCCCCATGTCCAATCAATGATGGTAAATCCCCCTCCCGCAAAGTGCTGGAGCACATTTCGCCGCGTCGGTGCATTTAAAACCAGCCCGTCTTGCGACTCATAATTGTGAAACTACTTTGAGCTTGGAGGCTTTTGTGGGGTTCAGGAAGGGGGTAGAATTCATGTAGCTGTTCTGGAGATCGTCTACGTGCCACATGACCGCGTGCATCAGCCTGATGGCCTATATTCTCAATGGTAAAACAGCTCAGCCTACGATCAAAAGCAGCACCAGAAGACAGGAGACTTCAGCAGATAATCATGAAAAAGCCTCTGTGGGATGCATCAGTTGCGGAGGAAAGCCGTGTCCCTTGGGGCGCCCGGACTGTAAAAGCCCCTCCCTCAACCGAGCGCCACGAAAACTGGAGCTAAAACAGCCCTCCAGTGCACTCCAGGGTCTTAGCAGTGCACTGCTGTGCAGTTGCCAGCCTGTGGCCATCGAGCAAGCCACCCCGTTCGATCCCCTGTAGCTGACCCTAAACCCTAAACCCTAAACCCTAAACCCTAAACCCTAAACCCTAAACCCTAAACCCTAAACCCTAAACCCTGAACCCTGAACCCTGAACCCTGAACCCTGAACCCTGAACCCTGAACCCTAAACCTGAAGGCAATCATGGACTTGTGGGATGATTGATGTTCTTCAACTTCGCAGCTCCATTGAACCTCTATCTGTTTGCAGGCACAAAAACCATTCTTACTATTGCTATTCTTACAATGAGTACGTGTACGTTTTCTAGATATGCGAAAATTTGCTTATCGTTGCCAGTTGTCCGATTCTAGTTGTGATTACTACAACTACCACTACCACTACTACCACTACTACTACCACTACTACTACTACCACTACTACCGCTACTACCGCTACTACCACTACTACCACTACTACCACTACTACCACTACTACCACTACTACCACTACTACCACTACTACCAGTACCACCACTACCACCACTACCACCACTACCATTACCACTAGCACTACCACTACCACTACGACTACCACTACCACTACCACTACCACTACCACTACCACGACCACGACCACTACCACGACCACCACCACTACCACTACCACTACCACTACCACTACCACTACCACTACCACTACCACTACCACTACCACTACCACTACCACTACTACTACTACTACTACTACTACTACTACTACTACTACTACTACTACTACTACTACTACTACTACTACTACTACTACTACTACTACTACTACTACTACTACTACTACTACTACTACTACTACTACTACTACTACTACTCCTACTGCTACTCCTACTACTACTACGACTACTGCTACTACTACTACTACGACTACTGCTACTACAACTACTACTACTACTACGACGACGACGACGACGACGACGAGGACGAGGACGAGGATGACGAAGACGACGACGACGACGACGACGACGACGACGACGACGACACCGACGACGACGACTGCGACGCCGCCGACGACGACGACTTCGACGAGGACGACGACGACGACGACGCGAACGCGGACGACGCGGACGCGGATGCGGACGCCGACGCGGACGCGGCTCTGACTACGACTACCACAACTTTTCGACTACTACGACTACTACGACTACTACGACTACTACGACTACTACGACTACTACGACTACTACGACTACTACGACTACTACGACTACTACGACTACTACGACTACTACGACTACTACGACGACGACGACGACTACTACTACTACTACTACTACTACTACTACTACTACTACTACTACTACTACTACTACTACTACTACTACTACTACTACTACTCCCCTCCTACTACTACTACTACTACCACCACCACCACCACCATTACTACTACCTGTTATTGCAATTATTACTTTTTTCGACCAATAATACTTGCGCTACAATTATTTCATAGCTTGCGCGTAGCTGCTGAAGAACAGCCCGGTCAAATGGGCGGTGCCGCATCTTCGTTCTCGCATCTCCCGCGGCCCGCCTGAATTCTTCCCTTCAAGTATTGCAAAACTGTCAAGACCCCTTGCTCAGGCGCCAATGGTCAGGTTGTCGTGAGCCATTCGCATGACGCTGTTGTCGGTATTGGTGGCGCCACCTGCACCAGAGTGAGAAAACACTGACACAGCAGTTGCTAAGGGCTGTAGGTGTAAGAGTCGAGGCTTTATGGGATAAGGGTAAAGAGTGCTCGATTCTCCCTCCTGATGTAGGGGTTTTATGACTCGTCAGAAACACATGAACATCGCAAGAAAACGCAAACTCATCTTTATCTTTAATGATGTACATTTTACATAAAATTCTTCGAACAAATATTCTATCATATTTGGCACAAAGTAAGGTTCAATGGTCTAAGCCTCCGGGAAGCCACCTCAAACAGTTATGCGGACTGCCTTCTGACCCTTTCTGAGCCCAACTCCATGTGCTCCGAAGAAGGCCATGAGCTGTCAACCGGCATTGGAGACTTCAGAGACGTTTTTTGAACCTACAGTATGGCTCAAAATCTATTCCGGAGGTAGTCCCTGGAGTTCCACCTTGAAAGGTGTCTGGGTGGCTCAAGAAATACAGCCCCAGCCTCACCTGCTTTGCCTTAGCCCGGGGCAAACCTTATGAAGCCATCCTACTTCCGAAGGGTGCCATGTGCTTAGAGCTCGCCTGACAGGCCGAGATGAATGCTGGCAATACGTCGGCAGTCGATGATGCCCCAAAAGACGTCCTGGAGACCCAACCCAAAAAACCCGAAACCCTAGGCCCTAAACCTCGTCTTAAGGTGGCTCTGATTGAAGTCAAACTCTCATCAGAAGGGTCAGGAACATTGGATGGCCACTTTTCATCTTTGTTACAGAAGGATTGGGCTTGGGCGCTAGAGCCAGTCGAGTCTTGTTTCTGCACCACTTGCGCAGCTGCGTCGAATTCCGCGTCCGGGAATCCCTTCTCCACGAATATTATAACTTTTGATTGCATATTATTAAAACACCCCAAATAGAAAAACATGTTAACGGGAGGTGGTTGATAATCGGGCAAAGGGATTGAACTCTTGGGGCATCAGCGCATAAAGCTCTTAAACCCTAACCCCCAAACCCTACACCCATATACAAGGACCACACATGTTGGTCCTGATGCTCAGGCAGCACGAACTCGCCAGTGGAGCCGTCGCCGTAGGTGACAAAGGCCACAGTTCCGCGAACTCCCTCAGCCGTCCCTACGATGTCGAAGCCCACCTTATAGGGTTGAGGGTTTCTAGGGGTTCTAGGGTTTATAGGGTTTATAGGGTTTATAGGGTTTATAGGGTTTATAGGGTTTATAGGGTTTATAGGGTTTATAGGGTTTATAGGGTTTATAGGGTTTATAGGGTTTTTAGGGTTTAGGGCTTAGGGTTTAGGGTTTAGGGTTAAAGTTGTAGACCCCCTGAACCCGAAAACCCATAACTCGGTTTTTGCAGACATCGAGCCGGCCTAAGATTGGATGGGTCGAGCTTGCCCGCTTCCAACCGTGCTAGTGGGTCAGAAAAAACTGCTGATGAAGAAGGTCTCCCCCTAGCTGAACCCCGTAAAGTTCTGATAGGGTGCACGTACACTGGCATAAAGGTCGAATTGTGTACCGGGAAGCCCTTGTTGCATAATTTCGTAGCGAATTCTGCTGCGTGACACAGGAGACGAGGCTTGTGGTTACATCTGTTAGTGGGCGAGTTCATCTCAAATGTGGTAAAGTGTACGAACGCTGCTCAAAGTCAGTACGCTACTGGGAGGTTCATCTTGGTACCTATAAGCAGGGTTATAAGTAGGGGAACTCTTCTTTTTAACCTGTCTTACGGTGCTTATAACCCTACTTCTAAGTACCCATGCACCTCCAAGCATAGCGGAATCTTATGATGCGAGAGAAAACGCCAAGCGAAAGGAGGGCATGGCTCTAGGCAACCTCAACTCCGACATGGTTGCAGTTGAATCCTAAACCCTAAACCCCTAGCCCCCTCAACCCCAAACCCTAAACCCCAGGCATGGCGTCTTCCTATTGCTCTAGGGTCATGCTATAGGGAACCCTAAGGACCCTGCTCACAGGGACCGCCCATCAGCGCACCATGATACCCACATGGTTTCAAATTCTACGCCAGTCTTCGCAAAGCTACCATACGCAGGACTCTGTGCCGGCATTATGAACGAGGGCCCCCTTCGCAAACGTGCCATAGTAGGGTTTAGGGTTTAGGGTTTAGGGTTTCGGACATGGTAAAAGCATGGGTGCGAGGGAGGGCTCGGTTCGCAAGTCTTGGGCTCAACGGCAGCTGATTTTGGCCAACAAGTTTGTCGACCACTAACTTTACGAAGCGCTGTGACCCTTCGGGCTAAACACCCTACACTCTAAGCCCTCAACCCTAAACCCTAAACCCTAAAAACCCTAAACTCTAAACCCTAAACTCTAAAACTCTAAAAACCCTAAACCCGAAAAACCCTAAACACTAAACCCTACTCCTTTGGAACGCTGAACAGGGGAACCAAGCGGCCGCCCAAACCCCCTCGGCTGTCCCAACGGAGGTCGTCCGGAAGCTCAAACGATATGAGCCGTTACCTGCGAGTCGCGCTCAAGGGCCCGCGCGCAGAGTGGCCCCTGTTAGGGTTCAGGGTTTGGGGTTTAGGGTGTAGGGTTTAGGGTTTAGGGTTTAGGATTTAGGGTTTAGGGTTTAGGGTTTGGGGTCTAGGGCCTAGGGTCTGGGGTCTGGGGTTTCGGGTTTGTGGTTTAGGGTCACAAGTTTAGGGTTTAGAGCTCAACACCTTCAGAAGCCACAAAGCCTACTTTTTTGGGTAAATTACCTAAGAATTCCACAAAAAGGGCTTCAGAACCAAAGGTTGCTGTGAGCGTCCATCCGAGTAGGCCGCCCGCTCGAGCATTCCGCAGAGCTTTAAACCCTATAAACCTTAAGCCCTAAGCTTCAGACAAACCGCCTTTCTACTCTCAATCCCGAACCCAGTTGCAGCCGGCACAATACAGGGGGTCTCCACTGGACTGCCCGGGAATAAGATTGTTGTTGTTGAAGCCGGTGGTCTCATACCTGAAACCGTGGCTGGAAAGTATCAGAAAAAGGTTTAGCGTCTTGGGATTCAGGTCTAGGGATACAAGCTGATGCTTTGTTGGAGAAAGAAAGATACTGGGTTTCGCCGACGATCGCTGACACTGCTGCGTCCGTGAAGGAATCGAAGTTGGCGCCATTGAAGTTGTCACCCACGAAGTACGCGGCATTGTCCTCGGCTATGCAAGCCCTTGATTAGCAAATCTAGGGTCTCGACCAGACTCTGTATGTGGCAGGCAATGGGCCACCCCGACCCCGTTCTGATACATGCTTCCCCCTCCTCGCGGCCTCTTGCTTCGTACGCGGTAATGTGGACTGAGGATAGGGGCATGTCACGCGAAGTAAGGCTCGTGGGTTTCTTTGTCGCAAGCAAAACGGCTTGATGCAAACCATTGTCGCAAAAGGGGCGTTCCGAGCCAGTTGCACGGGGGGGGGGGGGGGGGGGGGCGCGAAAAGAATAAGTTCGATGCAAAAGCAAAAGAGGAAGAGAGAGAGAGGAGGAGGGAGGAGGGAGGGAGAGGGGGAGAGAGGGAGGAGAGGGAGAGGGAGGAGAGAGAGAGAGGGAGGGAGAGAGAGAGGGAGAGAGGGAGAGAGAGAGAGGGAGGAGAGCGAGAGGGAGAGAGGGGGGAGAGAGGGAGGAGGGAGAGAGAGAGAGAGGAGAGGAGAGAGATGAGAGGGAGGCGAGGGAGAGGAGGAGAGAGGGAGAGAGAGAAGAGAGAGGAGGGGAGAGAGGGAGTGAGAGGGAGAGAGGGAGAGAGGGATTGAGAGGGAGAGAAGAGGAGAGAGGGAGAGAGGGGAGAGGAGAGAGGGAGAGAGGGAGAGAGGGAGAGAGGAGAGAGGGAGAGAGGTGGGAGAGGGAGAGCGGGAGAGAGGGGAGAGAGAGAGAGGGGAGAGAGGGAGAGAGGGAGAGAGGGAGAGAGGACGAGAGGGAGAGAGAGGGAGAGAGGGAGAGAGGGAGAGAGGGAGAGAGGGAGAGAGGGAGAGAGGGAGAGAGGGAGAGAGGGAGGAGTAGGGAGCGATCACTGCCGTTCACTGCGGCCGAACTCCAATGGTTAAACGGGCGGCTGGGGTTTTACGGGTTTTGAGGACCTTTGGGGCTTACGAGGGCTTAGGATTCGAGAGCTTTAGGGATTTAAGGTTAGCGGCTTAGGGTTCAGGATGTACTCGGAGGTTCATGGTTCTGATTAACCAATAGTAACTGTACTTATAACCCACTTATAAGCCCCTTGAGTGCCCTAATATGGTCAGTACAGTTATAATTGGTGAAGAACTACCATGAGTCTCCAAGTAAGGTGTGACGATCGTGCACGGTGGAGGTGCAATCGTCGAGTGGAGGGGCATCTGCATTCTGTCATCTTGAACTGTACAAGCTGAGGTAGCGTGTCCACCAAGAACATCACAGAAACTGCTCTCAAATTCTCCTGATGAGGTTTAGGGTTTGGGGTTTAGGGTTTAGGTTGAGACTTCTCATGGATGAGAAAGCCGAGATCTTCGTGAACTGCTGCATGCTCGGCAAGGTAAGAGACTGTACTTTCTTTCACTGAGGGGCCAGAACGTGTGAGACTTGTATGTGGTTCATGTCTGGAGAATCCAAGGAACTGTGTGGACTGGCCCTTGTGGGCGCAGGATAGTGTGACTCATTGGGAGGGTATGAACCCAGCATGCATTTTACAAGGGAACAAACAATAATCAGTAACAAAAAGATAGAGAAAGAGAGAGAGAGAGAGAGATATATATATATATATATAGAGAGAGAGAAAGAAAGATTGAGAGGAAAAAAGATACAAATAAGACACATCACTTCGGATCTCGCGTCGTGCATCGCGCCGCTTTTGTTTGCTGCGCACGTGTCCGCATCCAGGTTCGCGGCCCCTATTGAGGCCCCCATATGGGTTTTCGGATGGAGTCTACATTAGCTGTGTTTAGAGCGAGAATTGGCTCTCTGACGAGGGGAACCTCAACAGCCCGAAAAGCCCCAAGCCTAAACCCTAAAGCGAATCAAAGCTCGAGGGAATAATCGCCGAGGCTCATATCCGTCAACGAGACTCACCGTCAGCGGCGCCTCGAAACTTGCCCGGTCTGAATAGAGTTGGCTGCCTGCCCAGGCAGCAGCATCGGACGTCCGAAAATTTTCGTCGCCCTCAAACCCCTAACCCAGTACACCACGAACACCCTCAACTACAACAAGCCCGGCACCAAGATGCCTGCCTGCTGAAATGGGGCAGCCAAGGACAGGGGGCGGCTTGTGGTGGCTGTGGCACCACCACCGCCTGGGCACAAGTTTCAAATCGGCTGTCAAGCACAAGTTTGCTCCGGAGTGACCACCTTTGACTACTGAAACCCCCAAACAAAAAGCAGTCTGCTTTGGGAGGTGGACGCTTGCAATCTGAAATGGGAGGAAATGACAAAGAACCTTAGGAGGAAGACATGCACTGCTGCGTCCCCCTTCCAGCGCAGCACCTAAGCCCAAACTCCCGCACCCCCAAAGCCCAAAACCCCAAAACCCCTAAACCCTAAACCCTAAACCCTAAACCCTAAACCCTAAACCCTAAACCCATAGAACCATCAGCACTTCAGCCAGGGGGCTTCTGGCACCACCACCATGACCTTTTCCTTGCCACGTCCACCCTCCAGGCTGCCTTGGCCTTTGCCTCTCCGCAGGGCTTAGGGCTTAGGGCTTAGGGCTTAGGGTTTAGGGTTTAGGGTTTAGGGTTTAGGGTTTAGGGTTTAGGGTTTAGGGTTTAGGGTTTAGGGTTTAGGGTTTGGGGTTTGGGGTTTGGGGTTTGGGGTTTGGGGTTTGGGGTTTAGGGTTTAGGGCCAAGAACGCTGACGAAAGCTGGGCTCTTCCCCCTGGTTCTGAGGAATGACTAAACCCTAAACCCTCAACCCTCAACCCTAAACCCTAAGCCTAGTACCCCTTTAAGGGATGAAAAAGGGTACCTCATTCCCTCCTTCCCTACTAAGAACCAGCCAAAGTCTTCTTCGGGCCGCTACATCCTATATCCCCCTTGGGAATTATTTTTGTTTATATAACACCTGATGTTAAAAATATTTTATTAAGGGTTTAGGGTTTAGGGTTTAGGGTTTAGGGTTTAGGGTTTAGGGTTTAGGGTTTAGGGTTTAGGGTTTAGGGTTATTACGGGAGTATAGCATCTGGCGCCTTTGTCTTCGCTGCTGCCCACGGTGTGCCAGTATGGAGGAGCGCAGGAGGCTGGGCTTCGTCTTTGGGAATGCAAAGCCTCATGTGCACAGCATGCCCCTAAACCCTAAACCCTAAACCCTAAACCCCAAACCCTAAACCCTAAACCCGAAATCCTACACCCTAAACCCAAAACCCTAAAACCTAAACCCTAAACCCTAAACCCTAAACCCTAAACCCCCCTGAAACACACAGTGGACTCTTATCATTCTGATACCGCAAAGCCACACACAGGGCTCTTGCGAGAAATGCATAGTGCACTTTACGCTTACTCTTTTTTGTAAATATGCCCCTGTTTAGGGTTTAGGGTTTAGGGTTTAGGGTTTAGGGTTTAGGGTTTAGGGTTTAGGGTTTAGGGGTTAGGGTCCTACCGTAGGGAGTTCTACCTAGAGCCATTCAGGGAAGTAGCGAAGGAATGTTGTACTTTGCCTTGAGCTCCTCGCAAACGTCATAGTGCTGCCCCGTATTAGTTGTAGTCGAGGTGGTCAGCTCGGAAGCGTTCTGCACCCGCTGTTCTCTAGAATGTGCGGAATGTTGCAGGAGCCCCGTTACATCTCCACTGGTCTCGCATTCCTCAGCCTGGGGAGTAGCTTCTTGAGGGATCTGGGACACTGAAGCATGCCCCCGGTTCCAATGCGTGTAGGACCCACATGATTGCGCCCATTTTCGGTTTAAGGTGCAGAGTTTATAGGGTCGTGGGGGGGGGGGGGGCCCATGCAGAACCAAGGCGCTTCGGCTAAGCTTCGGGAGGGGAGGGTTCTGCATAAGATGCACATCCAAGCCGCCTTGATGCAGGACATGCAAAGGAGCAGGAGAATCCAGGCCATCCCAAGCCCGCTGACTCCAGCAAGAGCTGACGGGCCCGGGCAGGAATCTATCAAAAAAATTTCGCGCGGCTCAGGAGCTTGCGGCTGCACTTGCAGGGATATGTCCGGTTTAGGGTTAGGGTTTAGGGTTTAGGGTTCAGGGTTCAGGGTTCAGGGTTCAGGGCTTAGGGTTTAGGGTTTAGGGTTTAGCGGCTTTTGGGCCGCAGACTCCAGCTTTAGATTCAGGGTACCGTCCTCTCTCCAAATCCCCTCAAGACCCTAAAACCTGGCAGTTGGGGGCAAGATCAAGATCCCTAAGCCCTAAACCCTAAGCTCTAAACCCTAAACCCTAAGCCTTCAGCAGTCAGTCATGAGCCCTAAATCAGCCCTCAGCCCTCAGCCCGAAACCAGAAACCCTAGGCCAGGCATAGGGCAGATCTCCAGTTTTTCCTAAACCCTAAACCCTAAACCCTAAACCCTAAACCCCAGACCCTAAACCCCAAACCCTAAACCCTAAATACGCCCTTCGGGGGCTTTGTGTTTATGCAAGATGTCATGGCATCGGGCATCCTACTGAAAGGAAGAACGCAGGAGATCGGTACGGGCCGGCTTGTTGGTTGAGAGCCTGGGTTGTTTTAGTGTTTAGGGTTTAGGGTTTCGGGTTTAGGGTTTAGGCTTTAGGGGAGGAAGGTGATGGTTCAACAGAGACAGCACGAACACCCAAAGAAGGTACCAGCGACACAAGTCAAAAACCAAGCACATCAGAACCCGTCGATGACAGGCACACATGATGTATTAAGCCTAGGGATTGGTCATGAGTAACAACTCTAAGATTGCTATAGTGATTCTTGCTATTCGCGTTGCTATTGCTACTAGGGTCATTCTCATTACCGTGACTTCCGTTCTGATTACTAGCGTTGTCAGTACTGCGATCATTGTTGCTGTTGCTATTGTTACTGCTGACAGTGTTCCGCAGACCCAAACCCTAAACTCTAAACCCACATCCCCTTGGGGCCATCGCGATTGCATGATGGGGTGCAATCGCCCGGTCGCGATGACATCATGGCAGGTGGCACTGACCTACCCTTCATACAGTCCTGAGGGCCTGAAATTCTCTCGACATGCTTGAAAGCGACTTGGTTGTACTTGCACAAGACGAAACTTTACAGATTCTGTCCGCACTGTAATGCATGACAGCAGCACGAAGCTCCGAAAGCGATGACAGGTTCGACGATGGCGCACACCAGAACCTTCATCAACTACAACTCATGCGCGGAACTTTCGGAAGCCTCGCGAACTCTTTAAGCGAGCGCTTTGCGAACGCCCGACGGACGCGTCGCGAACGCTTCGCGGACACGAAACGCACGATGCTAGGTCACCCCCTAGGTCTCGGGATCCTTTAGAGCGGAAACCCTTCTGCTACGCATTCGGGGGAAAATGAGAGTGACTGCGAGCAGGGCTTCTGACATCTCTGGTGCGAAAGGAGCTCTGGAGAGCTCCTGAACTTCATGTCGTCCCCTGCCTAAACTCTGGAACCGCTAGTTAAACCCAAACCTCATAAACCCTAAGCCCTAAACCCCTAAACCCCTAAACCCTGAAACACGAAGCCCCCTGAAGCCCAGTCTGCACACCATTTCTGCACTTGCGGCTCCCCTGCAAGGCCCGGACGACTTCACGGCGTGCACCGCCCGAATTAGGGTTCAGGGGAGGGCTCAGGGTTTAATAGGGTTTATTAGGGCTTTAGGGCTTTTAGTGCTATTAAGGGCTTTCAGGGGCTTTTGCGGCTTTTAGGGCTTTTAGGGCGTTTCGGACTTTTTTGTTGTTCTTTGAGGGCTTTTGCGGCCTTTTTGGGGCTTTTTGGGCTATTAGGGCTTCTTGAGGCGTTTAGGGCTTTTGGGCCTTTTAGGGCGTTTAGGGCGTTTCGTGCGTCCTAGGAGCCATGCTCTGCTGCTGGGGACTACTAGGCATCGTGGCGCCTTCTTAGGTGAAAACTCAAAGCTACCAAAAGAAAAAGGGTTTAGGGTTTTAGGGTTTAGGGTTTAGGGTTTAGGGTTTAGGGTTTAGGGTTTAGGGTTTAGGGTTTGGGGTTTGGGGTTTAGGGTTTAGGGTTTCGGGGGGCCATCTCAACGTACTGAAATATAGGGGCCAGAAGGGAATGCCATTGGTTAACCATTTCGACCTCCGATTTTAATTACTCGACCAGGAGAAACTAAAGGGCGCCCTTTGAACCCGAGTAAAGACTGACCATGAGCCTATCACAAAAAAACTCTACCACCCTCAACCCTAAACACTAAACCCAGCATGCTACTTGGAGGTCCGTGGGTACTTGCAAGTAAGGTTAAGTAGGGCAACCATGGTTATAAGCGTATTCTAACCCCGACACCCTAGGAACAAAACCGTGTACAAGCCCAAACCCCTAAGAACACTAAACCCCAAACGCGACCTATAAGCACACATTAACCTTCAACTGGACCCTACAAGCTCTCACAGCACTGCAAGAGTGCGCCGCCGCTTGCGCCGGAGAGGTCCCGAGCTTTCCGAGGATTCCTCCTGAGTAGCTCTGGTTTTGAGATCAGGGTTTAGGGCCTAAGGGTGTAGGGTTCAAGCGCAGCCCCTTTGATATGAGCCTTCGAGAAAGGTACGATGATCCAGAATCTAGGCCCAATACCTCCAAAAACCCTACGCCCCTCAAATCAACCCGAATTGTCTGAACAACTCAAAACTACACCCGGTCCAAAGCCCCAAAGGCCTAAAGCCCAGAGCCTTAACATAACGCCCGCCACTGTGACCGCAAGGGTTTTGCGCGTGTCTTTGTGCAACTATCGGCGTGGTTTGTGCTTTGCACCATGCGTTTTTGCACATTCATGTTTAGGTCGGGATGTTTCCCCTGATACTAACAGTCCGGAATAGGGATTATCGTACCCCCGATTATCATCCCTATTCAGGACTGTGAGTATAAACGGGAACATCCCAACATGTTGGCAGGACGGAAGAAGAGCTGCAGGATTGCTCTTGCTTCAGAGGGGGCTTGGTCTACAGTATTAGAAATAACCCAGCGGGCGTGGGAAAAATGAGGAGGAGCATCAAAAACAACAACGGGCTTTTTGCAGGCACGCTGGCTGGCGTCTTGCGCACACTGCCCCCTTCCCCTCTCCCCCACTTGGAGGTTCATGGTGCTTATGAACCAATTATAACTGTACTCATAACTGTAAGGGGACTTAAGGGTCTTAGAAGTGGGTTATAAGTACAGTTATAATTGGTTAGTAAGTACCATGAACCTCCAAGCACTCCCCGCTCCCGCCTCTCTCCCGCTCCCCCTCTCCCCCTCGCCACCTCTCCCCTAAAGACATTGCGGTCCTAATGGCTGGCGTTGGCTTATAAACAAGGGGTAAACGGAGCCAACAGTTACGGCACGCCTCCCTGTTTTGACAGGGTATATAACAGCACCTCCAGACGGCTTTCTGCGGTGACAGCTGCAAAAAACAATTAAATCTGGACCCTACTTTTCTCTTAACCTCCAGTTTGGGTGCCAAAGATACCTAATGGCACTATGGCACCATCCATCTGTCGTTGCTACTGGGCAGCATGGCTTCACCATCCAGGGGATTGCCAAGGCTGTCTCACGGCAAAAAGCACAACACGCCTCCCTAAGAATTCAGGATTGCTTCACGTGGTCGTTCAACCGTTTTCAGATTTCATCTTCATGTTTGTTGTAACTCGTTTTTGTTGCAGCTACTACGTGAACAGACTGTTCCTCTGCCAGTCTAAATAAGCCGCCATTTGATCATCACGCGGATGCGCAAAGCATAGTGGAAATGGAGGGGGGTTTCCGAAACTAGGGGTACGTACCCTATTGGGGTCCTTTGTATAAGGGATCCCTACTATTTGGCGCCTATTTGAGGGTTCCTATTGTCGTCCTCCTCCCGCACGCAACCCTCAAAACCCTAAACCCCTAACCCTAAGCCCCTGAACCCCTAAGCCCCTAAGCCCCTAAGCCCCTCAACCCCTAAGCCCCTAAGCCCCTAAACCCTAAATGCTAAACCCTAAGCCCCTAAACCCTAAACCCAAAACCCTAAACCCGCCCTCCACCCCAACAACAACGGAGTTCCTGGATCCGACTCTTCGCCCTCTGCTTGATCTGTTGGCGCCAGGCGTGCAGCCTGGCTCGGGGGCGGACCGAGACTGCGGGTTTAGGGTTTAGGGTTCAGGGTTCAGGGTTCAGGGTTTAGGGTTTAGGGTTTGGGGTACATTGTTTTTTTTTTTTTTTTGGGGGGGGGGGGGGGGGGGGGGGGGGGGGGGGGGCGGGGGGGCCTACAGCCTCTAAGAATCATTTGCTTTAGAAGGATGATATCGGGGATTAAGGATCATAGTCTTGTTCAAACCTAGCCCCGCTAGAGGCACCACGAATACTCCGCATCCACCTACTACAAAGCCCCCGTTAACTGTTACGGAGTATGTAGAAGGAACTATATCGAATATTCTGTCGACTCCCCCCTGTTCAGTGAAAAGTCATCGCCGCGCTCACATGCAACATACACGTAGTCATGGTTCGGGCATGGATGCCAGGACCACACCGATGGCAACATGGTCGTGCTCCCGGTTCGGGCATGCGCTGGCCACGTTCACTTGCACCAAACCCAAAAAAAAAACTGGGAGGGGTCAATGTGATATCAAGGGAAGATGGGAGTGCCCTACAGAGAGAGAGAGAGAGGGAGAGAGGGAGACACAGAGACACCGAGACCTGGAGACATAGAGATGCAGACACCCACACACACAGACACCCAGACACGCAGGCAGGCAAGCAGGAAGTACGCGCGGACGGATGGAAAGTGTGGGGTATTTCATTTGGGGTTCCTGGAATCCCCAACCCTACATAAGGCCCAGAGGATAAGGGAGCACAAAGCGCCTAGGATGCTGCTCCAGGTGGAATGTCGGGCCTGGGCAACTTCATTCGGGGTGCCGTGGGCTCAGGGGCCAGGATCCTTTGAGTTTCCGGACGGGTTTTCGAGCTCTAGGCTTCAGGATTGTCTTTTTTCAGGGTTTCAGGGTTTCGGGTTTAGGGTTTAGGGTTTGGGGTTTAGGGTTTAGGGTTTAGGGGGGGAGGGGGGGGAGGGGGGGTGCGTTGCTCTTCTATCTGTCGGGCACCCCTTCATAGAAAGCATTCTCCAAGTAGGTGGAGTTTGTGCTCCATACAGCCTTGGAGCAGCATTAAGGTTTGGACATGGGATGTTCCCCCCTATACTAACAGTCCGTAATAGGTATTATAGTACCCCCTATTGTAATCCCTATTCAGGACTGTTACTATTAAGGGGGAACATCCCGAGTTCGGAACCTTCGGGTATCGCCTCCTCCTGTGAAGAGTAGGTTGGGGCTTCGTCGTCCTCTTGCAATGCGATGGGCCAATCCCCAAATCCTACCAGCCTTCGACCCAAGAAACTTCAATCAACACCCCAAACCCCCGTGTTCCTACCTGAAGGTTCTTGGGTAGTTACAAGTAGGGGGTATAATTCATAAGTACCCTACATAACGTTCTAGCCATAGTCACCCTTGTTGGCCAACCACCCACCTCGAAGCACGCGGAGGTTCATGGTACTTATTAGCCAAGTATAACTGTACTGATAACCCACTTATAAGCCCCTTAAGTGCCCCAACATGGCCATAACTTGGGTGATAAGTACAGTTCCTAAACCCAAACCTAAACCCTAAACCCCAAAACCCTAAACCCTAAACCCTAAACCCTAATCCCTAAACCCTTCTAAGGACAGTGCTTTCTTGGGTTAATGAGTACCATGAACCTCCAAGTGGAGTCGCAGGCGTCCCCACCTCGCTGAGCATCGAGGAAGCGCAGCGCATGGCCCAGGACTGGGAGGTGGCCAAAGAGGAGTTTAGGGTTTAGGGTTTAGGGTTTAGGGTTTGTAGGGTTTGTAGGGTTTGTAGGGTTTACAGTTTATAGGGTTTATAGGGTTTACAGGGTTTATAGGGTTTTTTAGGGTTTTTTAGGGTTTATAGGGTTTATAGGGTTTATCGGGTTTACAGGGTTTATAGGGTTTATAGGGTTTATAGGGTTCTTGGGGTTTATAGGGTTTATTGGGTTTATTGGGTTTATTGGGTTTAGGGTTTAGGGTTTGGGGGGGAGGGGACTTGAAGTTATAGTCCTGGAACGAGCTAACCATTTTCTTACTCCTGTTGAACCCTACAATAACCCAACAGCAACACTTTCTGAGTCGGTTCCGAAGTAGCACCGCTTACCTGCCGGGGTGTTTGGCCCACTCTCTTCATGGCGTGTGGCTCCTGGGGGACGAAGGTGTAGGGTTTAGGGTTTAGGGTTTAGGGTTTAGGGTTTAGGGTTTAGGGTTTAGGGTTTAGGGTTTAGGGTTTAGGGTTTAGGGTTTAGGGTTTAGGGTGATCTTGCGCTGCTGACCGGCTCGTTGATTCCCTAAACCTTGAACCCTGAAACCTTTACTAGGGATTAGTTTCAGGTCTCAACCTCAAGCCTAAACAAATCCCAAGGCCCAAAAGCGCAAGCCCTCGTGTGCCTGTCTCTTGACTCGCGTTAACACCACTAACCACCCCGAACCCTAAACCCTAAACCCTAAACCCTAAACCCTAAACCCTAAACCCTAAACCCTAAACCCTACACCCCCCCACCCCCCCTTCAAAACCCAGCCTGGCTGACTCTCCGCCGCCTGTCGGGCCAATCTCTTCACCTGCTGGACAGGAAAAGCGCCGTTTAGGGTTTAGGGTTTAAGGTTTAGGCTGCAGGGTTTAGGCGGACCCTATCAAAAAGTTTTATGGCTTTATGAGGATTATGTCGAGGGTTAAGGGGCTTAAAGTCAAAAAAAAAAGTGTTCAACCTTACCCCAGGTAAGTCTTCACAAGGACAAAAATCCATGAAGAGCACGGGCCATGATGCGCTACAAGACAGGCTTCCCACGTCCAGTCCATGATGTCACGCACGATGGTAACATTCCCTCCCCCTCGGCCCGGCGCTGAGAGCAATTTTCGCTGTGTTGCGACATTGCGCCAACAGAGGACACAGGTTTCAAAACTGGCTGCCCTGCAGTCCACTCCAGCGTCTTCGCAGTACACTGTTTAGCTTCTTGGGCCCTAGGCGACGAATGGAAAACAGGATACTCCTAGAGTATATGAAGCAGGGTATATATTTCTTGTACCCCCCAAACGGACACCAGGTATATACACTCACCAATATTAAAAAAAGGAACCTTATGTACACTCACCAATAACAGCCATATAAATCCTGCTTCATATCCGCACCTTGGGGACCAAATGAACCCTAAAATTGGGGTCCTATACCCTATACTACTATAACTCCAAGGTATATGAACCATAAACCCTTGTAGGTTCATATACCTTAATAGGAATTATAGTAGTATAGGGTATAGGACCCCAATTTTAGGGTTCATTTCGTCCCCCAGGCAGAAGCACCTGTGCCTGTCGGAACTGCTGCGCCTTTGGCAGCCTAGGGCCATCAAGAAAGCCACGACTTCTCAGCGGGAGCTGATGGAAATGTAGGGCGCGCGACGCCCCCTGAGCTGCTTCGATGCGCCCTAAACCCTAAACCCTAAACCCTAAACCCTGAACCCTAAACCCTAAACCCTAAACCCTAAACCCTAAACCCTAAACCCTAAACCCTAAACCCTAAACCCTAAACCCTAAACCCTAAGTCCTAAACCTGAAGGCCACCATGGATCTGCGAGATGTCACTCAGGTTGCAGGCCCAAAGACCATGCTTACGATTACTACTCTTGCTATCGCTACTACTTCTATTACTGCTGTTTCGACTCTTACTCTTACTACGATTATTACCATTATTACGACGATTACTATTCTTACGATTATTACTGCTATTACGGTTCTTACTGGTACATTAGTTTCCTGTCTGTATTTGTATTTCGTTGCTAGTATGACCATTCATGTTTCATAGCTTGCACGCAATTGCTCGGGAACAGCCTGGTGAAACTGTCGCGAACGACCCAGTAGCCCGTTCAAATACTGCAAAGCAGTCAAGAGCGAGCCCTCACTCAGGCGCCAATGCTCAGATTGTCGTGAGCCATTCGCATGACACTATTGTCGGTATTGGGGGCGCCGCCTGCACCAGACTGAGAAAACAGCGAGACAGCAGTTGCTGGGGGCTGTAGGTGTAAGAGTTGAGGCTTTCAGGGTCAAGGGTTGAGTGTTTAGGGTTTTTCCTTTGACGTAAGGGTTTTTATGATTCATCAGAAAGAAGTAAGCATCGCAAGTCAAATAGAACTCCTCTTTATCTTTGACTATTTGCATTTGAAATAAGATTCTTCGAACGAATAATTAATCTCAATATAGTTGGTACAAATAGGGTTTAGAGGTCAGGTTCAATGGTCTAAGGCTCCGGGTAGCCTCCTCACACTGTATGCGGGCTGCCTTATGACACGTTCTGAGCCCACCTCCGCGCGCTCCTGACAAAGCCCTGGGCTGTCAACCGGCATTGGAGACTTCAGAGACAGTTTGTTGAATTTGCACCGTCAGTATGGCTCCTAAACCCTAAGCCCTAAGCCCTAAGCCCTAAGCCCTAAGCCCTAAACCCTAAACCCTAAACCCTAAACCACCACAGATCGCCTCAAGAAATACAGCCCCAGCCTCACCTGCTCTGCCTTCGGGCAAAACTTACTAGGTTGGCCCCGTAAACCCTCTGCAAAATATTCCTAAATATGACCCTCTGAAACTTTAAGCTCAAAAAGGGAAGATACCAAATCTCCCACGAGCCTACCTCGCTTATGAAGCCCTCAACCAGGTCCGCCTGACAGGCCGAGATGGATGCTGGTAATCCGTCGGCAGTCGATGATGCCCCAAAAGACGTCCTGGAGACTCAGCCCTAAACCCTAAACCCTAAACCCTAAACCCTAAACCCTAAACCCTAAACCCTAAACCCTAAACCCTAAACCTGTGTCTCTAAGTAAAGAAGCCCTCATCGAAAGGCTCCAGGAGTGAAAAACCCCAAACTGGAACCTGCCTCCAACTCTGCACCTGGACACATTTGAAGGGTTCGGGGTTTAGGGTTTAGGGTTTAGGGTTTAGGGTTTAGGGTTTAGGGTTTAGGGTTTAGGGTTTAGGGTTAGGGTTTAGGGTTTACGGTTTAGGGTTTGAATTTCTTGTAGCCCCAACCGGACACCCCAAATAAACACTCACCAATATTAGAAAGGAACCTTATATACACTCACCAATAACAGTATTTCTTAGTTACTGAGTTCATAAGCCCTAAAAAAAGTTTACACTTTTAAAGGTTTGAAGAGATTATAGTGTCCCAAAACAAAAGTGTAGAGTGTGCTCCTCAGCTACTAGGTGATGGTCGCTTTTCATCTGCGTGCACAGCGGGTTTGGGCTTTGATTGCGGACTAGAGAAGTTCTAGTTAAGTTTAGGGTTTAGGGTTTAGGTTTAGGTTTAGGGTTTAGGGTTTAGGGTTTAGGGTTTAGGGTTTAGGGTTTAGGGTTTAGGGTTTAGGGTTTAGGGTTTAGGGTTTAGGGTTTAGGGTTTAGGGTTTAGGGTTTAGGGTTGAGGGTTTAGGGTTTAGGGTTTAGGGTCTAGGGTCTAGGGTTTCGGGGTCAGGGTTCAGGGTTCAGGGTTCAGGGTTTAGGGTTCTGCACCAGTTGCGCACCAGTGTCGAATTCCTCGTCCAGACTGGTACTGTGATCAGGGGAGGTGGTTGATAACAGGGAGAACGGGGCATGAACTGTTTAGGCCATCATCGCATAAGCTCAGCCTTGATCCGCCTTGCAAGTCCGAGAATCGCGCTTGAAATGTCCGTCGAGGATCTTAAGAACATAAGGACCCCACATGTTGGTCCTGACGCTCAGGCAGCACGAACTCGCCAGTGGAGCCGTCGCCGTACGTGACAAAGGCCACGGTTCCGAAAACTCCTTCCTGAACCCCTCTGATGTCGAACCCCGCCTTAGGGCTGCGGGGATAAAAGTTTCTTATGGCCGTGAGCTCACGGACCAGAGGACCACGGGACAAGAGGAACCTAGCAGACTAGAGGACTAGAACAGCGGGGACCAGGGGTCCAGAAGAAACCCACAGACCAGAGGACCAGAAGACCAGGGGGACCGGGGGAACCTAGCTCATTGTGGCAAATCATGTTTTGATACTTTCTCTTGAACTTCTTGATGTTATCAACTATTTCTTGGTGCCTCTCAGATGGTTGATACATGTGCCCGCAAAGTTGACATAATAAACTTGGACCCTCCAGCATGCGAGGGAGATGGAGGGAGGGAGGGCTCGGTACACGAAGAACAACGGCGTATCGTCTCTACAAGCCACAACGAACTTTACAAAGCACCTTGACCCTTTGGGCTAAACACCCTAAACCCTAAACCCGAAACCCTAAACCCCAAACCCCAAACCCTAAACCCTAAACCTTTAAACCCCAAACAGGGCACCAAGTGGCCGCCCAAACCCCCTGACCGGTTCCAACGGAGGTCGCCTGGAAGCTCAATCGATAGGAACCGTTACCTGCGAGTTGCGCTCAAGGGCCCGCGTGCACAGTGGACCCGGTTAGGGTTTAGGGTTTAGGGCTTTGGGCTTAGGGCACATAAAGGGCTTCAGAACCGTAGATTCCAAACTTGGAGCGTCCATACTAGGCCACCGGCGCATTTCGTAGAAAGACAAGTGCTTTGAACCCTAAACCTTAAGCCCTAAACTTCCCAAAGCCTTAGACTCTCAATCCCTAAACCCAGTTGCAGCCGGCACAATACAGGGGGTCTCCACTGGACTGCCCGGGAATAAGATTGTTGTTGTCGAAGCCGGTGGTCTCATACCTGAAACCGTGGTTGGAAATTATCAAAAAAAGGTTTAGCGTCTTGGGATTCGGGTCTAGGGATAATTACAAGCCAGGATGGTGCTTTGTTGGAGAAAGAAAGATACTGGGTTTCGCCGACGATCGCTGACACTGCTGCGTCCGTGAAGGAGTCGAAGTTGGCGCCATCGAAGTTGTCACCCGCGAAGTACGCGGCATTGTCCTCGGCTTTGCAAACCCTTGATTAACAAATCTAGGGTCTCGACGAGACTCTGTATATGGCAGGCAATGGGCCACCCCGACCCCCTTCTGATACATAATTACCCCTCGTCGCGGCCTCTTGCTTCATACCCTGTAATTTGGACTGAGGACAGGGGCACGTCATGCGAACTAAGGCTCGCGGGTTTCTTTGTGGCAAGCAAAACGGTTTCACGCGAACCCTTGTCGCAAAAGAGTCCCCCCCTGCCCCCCCCAGCCGGTTGCAAGGGGGGCGCCGACGGAAAAAAAAATCGTTGGAAAAGCGAGAGAGGGGACGAGAGAGAGAGAGAGAGAGAGAGAGAGAGAGAGAGAGAGAGAGAGAGAGAGAGAGAGAGAGAGAGAGAGAGAGAGAGAGAGAGAGAGAGAGAGGGGGAGGAGAGGGAGATAGAAAAGGAATAGAGAGGAGGGGAGAGAGAGAGAAAGAGAGAAGAGAGAGAGAGAGAGGGAGAGAGAGAGAGAGAGAGAGGGAGGGGGAGAGAGAGAGAGAGGGGGAGAGAGAGAGAGAGAGAGAGAGAGAGAGAGAGAGAGAGAGAGAGAGAGAGAGAGAGAGAGAGAGAGAGAGCGAGAGAGTGACAGATAGACAGAGCGATAGAGTGACAGAAAGGCGGAGAGGCAGAGAGGCAGAGAGGGAGAGAGGCAGAGAGGGAGAGAGGGGGAGAGGGGGAGAGGGGGAGGGAGCGAGGGAGGGAGGGAGCGAGGCAGCGAGGGAGCGAGGGTGCAGAATTCCACTACACAATCTAAACAGTTACGAGCAACCTACCGAGATCAATCACTTTCCCAATCACACGAACAGTCCAGCTTCCTTTTGTGCAACCAAACAGTCGTCCAGTCTTGAGCCACTTGAGCCGATGCCATTCTGTCTTTCGACCTTGCACATCCAGTGTCTTGCCAGACAAGCTTCGCAGCGACGGAGCACTCTCATTCAACGGCAACGAGGGAGCGAGGGAGCGGGGGCGCGAGGGAGCGAGGGAGCGAGGGAGCGAGGGAGCGAGGGAGCGAGGGAGCGAGGGAGCGAGGGAGCGAGGGAGCGAGGGAGCGAGGGAGCGAGGGAGCGAGGGAGCGAGGGAGCGAGGGAGCGAGGGAGCGAGGGAGCGAGGGAGCGAGGGAGCGAGGGAGCGAGGGAGCGAGGGAGCGATCGAGGGAGACAGGGAGAGAGCGTCGCGAACCGCGGCATGCTCGACGAGGGAAGCGACTGTACCGTGATTTTCTCTCTGAACGGACCGACGTGTGAGACCTGTATGTGATTCACGCCTGGCATGAATCCAAGGAACTGTATGGACTGGCCCTTGTGGACAGGACTTGCTTACGTGCACGCCGCACCATCTGCGTCGATGTAGTTGCATGGGAATACCTCCGCCCGCGCAACAGCATCAGCATCATCATCGGCACCACCCCGATCACTGGACGGCCGGTTGTCAGCAGACTCATGCTCCTCGAATGCAACCTGCCCCTGCGTGAAGAGCCTTCGGATCTGCAATGACAGAAACCAACTGCAGTATCCAAGGATTTGCATGCTCTGTGAGATGCCCGTGTGGGTCCAGCTGCGCATAACTCTCCCAGCAAAATTGCCCAAAAAAACTAGCCAACAAGGAGACAGTTTCTTCGGGCCTCTTGACAATATCTTGCCACCACAGCAGCCGCCGAATACACCTTTCTGTAGCAGAAGAAAACAACCGAACTGCTTGGAAGACTTGCTGATTGGTCCCACTGCAGCGGTGTCCACGCACAATGCCAAGGTTTAGTGCACGCCCGGCCTTGCAGCAACTTGCGGGACAGCGAAGCCAATAAGCGCGTAATTTGTTTGTCATCGCCTTTGTGCGACGGCACTGCATCCAAGCCAGAATACACTGCCGACAGAACCATGGTGCGGAAACAAGCAGTTGCTGCGCTCTTGGTGCATTTTTGCAAAGCTAAAACCCATGAAGCACACTCCAAGACCTCTTTAAATACTTGGCGACCCGTCTGAATTGTCCCCTGACTGTGGTGCGCCCATGATAAAGATCTTGCATATGCTTTTCTGCGAGCCTGGCCCCACGAGCCGGACGAGGAGCTCCTTCTTGTCGTGATTCTGCGCCATTCCCAACCCTTGCAGGCTCTGGCCCAAGTCCCTGTCCATGGCGTTGACAATTGAAGTGAACTCGTGCGCAGTCGGCACCGCGTGCGTTTTTGCAACATCGTCCGCGAAGGTACTGAGCGAGGCGTCGCATTGCTGCCCTGTGACGGGTCGACTGCAATAAGCTTCGCTCCATGAGGGAGTGCCTGACATGCAGCGTTCCAGCGTTCAACAGCCGGATGATACACAACCAAGGTTCCCACACCCGTTTTGCAGTATTGTGTACTCACGCCGGAAAGGGTCTCGCAGTAGTTTAACTGCTTCACGATGTCGTTGCATGAGCAGCTCCACATCCTCAGGTCGAGCATATCTGCGAACAGTCGCATCCAAGGTGAGGGAAAAGCATTCTTGACGTCATAGCGCACACTGCCATGCCCCATTCCGGCATACTGCCACCGCCAATTGTTTGTGTATCGGCCTCTGCTGTAGCCCCACTGAAAGACATGATGATGGGAAGCACGGAAGTAAGTGCAAGGAGTATCAGGCTCCGCTTTGGTGCATAGCCCTTGCAGTGCCACCACGTCAACGCTCTGAAACTCATTAAAGAGCTGTGCCCATCTGCCCACACGCGCGACAGACATTGCATTATACGCACACACGCCAAGAAGATCGAATATCCCTGTTTGCAAACTCCCCACTGCGCTGCGCCACAGCTCGAGAACCAGCAGCCTGTGGAGAAGGAACAATGCGCTCACGGCCGTCAAGGCCTGCGCCACCTCTTCGCGGCGTCTGTGCCCTGGCATGTGCGTCTCGCACGGCATCATGGGCATCCTGCCGTCGAGCAGGTCCGGCATACATTTCTTGCCGGCTGTGCCTTCGAATCCCACGCTTGCGAGCACCAGCTAACCGAATCCTGCAATCTTGTGCCAGGGCTGGTTCAGTGGATGCTCGAGAAAACCGAGATCTTGCTGATCCCGACCAGCGTCATACGCAGCATGCTAACTGTATGAGATGATGATCAGTCTTGCTTGGTGAATCTCTGATTCGTCTCAGGGTTTCTGCTTGGTCTTTGTTTTTTTCTCGGGTTTTGGGGGCTTCCCTCGTCAGGACTTCAATTCTCGCTCTAAACACGGCGAATTTTGACTCCAGCCGAAATCCGGATGCAGCACGCGTCACGTACAAGACGAACACAAGACACGCGATGTGCAAAGTGATGTGTCTGATACGTCTCTCTTTCCCTCTCTCTCTCCCACTATCTATCTATCTATCTATCTATCTATCTATTTACACATATATATATATATATTTGTATATTTATATATTTATATATTTATATATTTATATATTTATATATTTATATATTTATATATTTATATATTTATAGATTTATATATTTAGAGAGTGCGTCGGAATACAGGCCTGTATTTTTCGTGTCCAAAACACGTATTTTACGTGATTTTACCTTATTTTTAGTATATGTGGACAAACAACATACACAGGATGTTATAAGAACACAAGCCTGCCCAACTAAGCGCGGCAATATCATAACATCTGACGTCGCCACTCGCAGAAGCTGAGGCTTGAGGTTCTCAGTCATCAAAGCATATCCGTGCATATCTATATATATATATATATATACCATATTATACTCACGCATGATGCTGCACTGAATCTCGAGGAATCACGTTTGTTTTTCTCCTGTATGCCCCCGCGTGCGCTTTCAGACTTATAGTGAGAAGACACTTTGGATGTCCTCTGTGTATCCCGTGTGACATGCTAGCGCAACCGTGTGATCTCGTACTTCCATCTCATAAGCATATGTGTATCATGTATATCCCGGAATACCATTTGATGAGCATCGTATGATATGTAAGCCTATATGACACGGTACGAAAACCCTCACGGCACGCATGTCGCACAGTACCTATGCACGTCTCACTTCTTCTTCATGTGATGCTTGATGACTTTCTTCGACGGCTTCCTCAAGACTCTGTGGGACGACAAAGATGCAGACGGACGCCGACAGATGTACTTCTTCGAAGCTGGACGGATGAGCACCCGAGCATTCTTGGCAGCCTTGGCACGAGCACTGAAAGGGTTCAAGTGTCGAAGGTAGTCTTTGCGGATCAAGAGGTTATGCTTCTTGATGTACAGTAGGACATAGAAGACATGCGTCAATGGATTCTTCACATTGAAGGTAGATGCGTAGCCGCGAAACCAGGAGAAGGTCTGCTCGGCAATGGACGAGTTGACATTGCGTAGGCGAAGGTCCAGGCGCCGATGGACGAGAGGAGAGCATGTACATGTGTCACCATCGGCCCTGGCATGGAAGCGGTCAATGCACCAGTACTTCACCTAGCGAAATTTCGCGTCGGACAGGAATGCCTTTTGACATACGCACATCTTGTCATAGATGACGCAGTCCAGGTTGGGAGCACGTTCCACAATGTTCTGTAGGACTTGTTTAGCGATGTCATTATTCTCTGGTGAAGCCATGTTGGTTGCCGACATCACAAGCCCTGTGGCGGGATCGATAGCCATGAACCATCCGTTTTCATGTTGTCTGATGCGGCCATCCTTGCGGGGACGACCGACGCGGGCAGGCGTGTTGCCTGGGCACTTTGCTGCGACCTTCTCGTGCCCGTCCATAACGACCTCCTTGACACGGTGCCATTCCGCTGGAGAGAATTGTTGACGCTGCCACCAATCCTTGTACTCAGAAAGGAAGGCCTCGGAGAGAGGCTGAGTTACCTCTAGGTTGAAGAGTCTGGCTGATTGGTTGCTTCTGGGATCATACCACATCTCATGCGCTTCCTGAACCACAGCATAGTACAGCTGCGCAGTCGAGTATTCACGGTGCCAGCGGTAGTGTTGCTCCGGGTCATTCCAGAGAGTATGTGACTGAGCGAACT